CCCTCCCCGCCGCCTCCAGATAACTTCCTCTCGGGAATCCATTTTTAACCCCAAAGTCAGTCGGAGCTGAATTTCATTGTGACCCCCCCCGACCGCATTTTTCAAGGTTCGCTTTCCCACAGTTGCGCCCACATCCTTTTGATGAGACGGGGAAGCGACCGGCTCGCGAAGCCGCAGCTTTATTTGAGCCGCAAATGCATTTGGATTTATTTTCCAATCTAAAGCAGCTGTTGAACAATAAGAGCAGGCCGGCATAAGGCCAAAAAAATTCATATCGACGTGCCACTGCTGCCCTTTTCCTCGACATCCCATCTCCTCTCACCGGCTTTTATTTCCACTCCGGCTCCTGGTGAGCTGCTGCAAAATAATGGCCCGGTAACATCGGCTTTTATTATTTTTTTGAACGGGAATTTTGCGCCCGGCTCTTCTCGCTCGCCGCGATCGCCCGCATCGAGCGCCAAAGTAAAGGGCAGACATTAGGGTTAAAAAAAAAAAAAATGCAAAAAGATGGTTGACGACGTCGAAGGCGCGGTTTGCACCCCCACCCCCCGCTCCCCCCTGCCAACTCTGCGGCATCGCCTCCTCAACATATTTCCGTGCAAGGTTCCTCCACCCTTTGCCGGAATTCATCACTCACGCTAATGTCGCTAAGCGGCGTTCCGCACCAAAGACGCTTTTGACGCGTCATTAGGCTAATTAGCGAAAGCTGTCGCCGGCGACGTGGCGGATCTTGACGACTCGTTTTTCAGCCTCCATCGTCACTCAAGTGAAGAAGACGCGGCACCCGCCGCGACATTTACGTTCCGTATCAAACATTGGCGAAAGTTCCGGTGCAAACAGTCGTGCGGCCTCACGCGGGAACAGGAACGCAGTGTCACCTTGAGCCGCATGCTGCTTCATCACGTGAATCAACTCATCGGCGATGAATCGATCATCAAACGACAAACGATTCGGCGTGTGCGTCCCTCCCCCAAAGACGATTGGACACATTTCTCGACGTCGCGGTTCGATTTGGTGAGATTTACGATTGGATTCGATATGCTACGACTGAAGCTTTTTTTTTGTCACGTTTCTTAAGATGCAGCAACAGACTTTCCGAAATCCGAAATCAATTCCTTTTTTCTCGTGCGTGCATTCCACTAAAGTGATCATTAATGTGAGCCGGAGGGGCCGGCAAGTGCGGCTTGCGCGTGTGCGTTTCCCTTTGTTAATAAAAGATGATACCCGAGGCGTCAGCGTGGCGTGAAAACTCACCGGCGGCGATGGAGGCCAAACGAACATAGTCGGAGCCCCTTTCCTCGGGCTCGTACGGGAAGTCCTCCACCAGGTTGAGGCCTGCAAAAAAAAAAAAAAATAATAATAATTTGGTGGTGGTGGTGGTGGGATGTTTGATTTATCACATCGCCATGGCAACCGGCGACTATTTAATCAAAAAAAAAAGAAAAGGAAAAGAAACGACATGCCGCCACCCATCCTCGGCGCCAGAAGCCGGCGACTGGCCGTTGGAAGAAATTTCCTTCGGCCGTCAGCACAAAATAAACAATTATTGATTCGTCCTGGCTTCTTGCAAGTGGGCTTTTCCGCCGTTAAAGTTTTATGGCAAAATAAAAAAGAAATACATGAATGGATAGCAAGAAAAGTCGCGGCAATTACAGATCAAGGGAGAGGGCGGCGGTGGAGGGGAAGCGGGAGCCTGCGAGCGGCTCGTTGACGCCGCGCGGCGCCAACGAGGTCGCGTCGCGTGGAGAGCGACGGTCGGCGGCTGTGCTGATCACGTTGCCGTTCGTACAAAATGGCGCAAACGGGGACACGTCAACAAGCGATGCCGAGCGATGTCAACAAACATCGATCACGTTCATTCTCCTCCCTGCAATTCGAAAATTCAGTTGTCGTTCGGCTTCCCGTTGGCCACCTCGATTCCAATTCAAAGAGCGAACTGGAATTTCGGGGTCCATCTCAATTCACTTGCGAATTTGCCGCGGCCCTCAAACGAGCGACGTCGACAAGCCGCGGAATCGGCTGACGCGAAGCGCCGACTAAACGGGTCGCCCGCTGACATCACGAGTGGCGTGAGCCAGCGACCCGCTGTCGGCGCTTTTGTTTCTGACCGTGCAGGGAGGCCTGCTGCAGGCTCCAGTAGATGCTGAGGCAGTTCTTCTCCTTCTTCATGCCTCGCTTGCAGCGGCAGCCGCGCAGCGGCGTGGACGTGAGGGCCGCCACGGCGTTCTCGCACTGGTTGCGGGCGCCGGGGCCCAGCTTGACGCTGCCGTCTCCGGCCACGCACTGCCGCAGGGTGCGCAGGCGCGGGCTGCAGGCGTCGTCCCCGGAACAGGCGTCGCCTGCGCTCAGGCAGTCCCGGCCGCCCTCGGCCGGCGACGCGCCCGCCGCTCCTGCGGAGACACCGCGAGGCAAATCCGTCAGTGACAACGATCCATCGGGTGCGGTCGCGTGAGCGGAAAAAAACTGACATTCAAATTTGAAAGCTTACCATTGGCCTCGGTGACGACATTTGAATCCCCGACTATTGCTTCAAATCCGACACCGTCGACCCAGGTTTGACAAGCGAATCTTGTCTCTCAAGCCCCAATTTGAAACAAACGCAAATCTCTCATCCTGGCCCATTTGAAATGCTAACCCTTGTTTCGAAGCCCAACCCTGGTCTTAAAACCCCAATTTGAAACCCAGAACGACTCCCTCGAGCCTGGTTTGAAAGCCAAAACTTTGGCTTCAACTACGCCAACTCAAACTCTTAATTTGTTGGAAACGTTAACCAGGAAAATCTCATTTGAGAATCCTCAGGAAAACAAACACGGTCATGTCGATTAAAAAATATTTTTCCGAGTCCGAGTCGGAATCACATCCCAGACAACAAAATCAAACAGAGTCCGGATTCGAGTCCTACAGCGCAAACTCGGACCTCCGAGCCCAAAATGGAAATCGCCGTGGCGGCAACAACAATGTGACCCCGCCCCCCGAAGTGTTCCCGACAGCAGAGAACAACAGAGCGCGAGCGTCCGTGATGGATGAAGTGAGTCGGAAGGCAAACAAGCCGAAGGGGGCCGACGTTGAAAGCGGGCCTTCCCGCCGCAACGCCGCCGGAGCCGCCGGGCTCGTCACGGGCGATCCGCCGCCTTCGTTTACATGCGCGCCGCCGCTGCCGCCGCCGCCGCCGCCCGAGGGGAACGCGGCTCTATTATTCATGCATTCCGAGGCTTGTCGCGCGCCATCCATCAGGCGCCGCTGACAGCATGACCGGGCCCGGATGGAACGCCGCCATTCATCCCGCCGCGCCTCCCAAAACACTCGCTCGTGTTTGCGCCGCCGTCAAAACAAAGTCTCGTCTTTTTGCTGGATGGGCCCGCCAAGGCAATTCCAGATAGACACACTCAAGGTTTGGCGATGTTCTTCTTTTGGCTGAAATAAACCCCGCCCTTTTTTTTTTTTTTTGCTCGATGGCCTCAATCAGTCAGTCGATCAAGATTTCAAACGGCGTTGACTTTCAGTGTCGCGTCAGCGGCCGTAAAAAAATGAACAAAGTCAGGAGTAGAACGTCGGAAAAGTACAAAATAAAGGTGTGACGATTAATTGAATCACCTCATTGACGATGAAATCCATCAATCGTTATTTTTGATCATGCATTTATCCTTTGATACCTTTATTTTTTTTTTAATCGGCCAGTTCTGCCAAATTTCGGCTTCTCAACAGGAAATATTTTCCAACTGTTGGCGTCCTCCCTGAAAGCAGAAGGATTTTTTTTTTTTTTGTGTCAAATCAAAATAAATTTGCTATTTGCTATTATTCTGGGCTACGATGACCATTTTTTGGGGGGGAATTCCGACATGTGACTGACAAAACCAGAACCAAATTTAATTGACGTTAGTGTCTCCTGTTTTTGAATAAAAGATTGGAAATGAAAAACATGCTGTTGAAAAAAAAATGACCGGCAAAATATTTGACAGAATATTTGATTATTTAAATGAGTCTCGGGAGCTGGAAAATCGGACCTCATCTCAATATAAAACGATGGCTTTGACGCCATCTTGGTCTGAAACAACAAGACACGTCATTGCACCGTCTGGTCGAAAATGAATGCTTTGCTGCCATCTTGTGTCATCCGTAGTCACTCACACCGCTCACCAAAACTTCAAAGTACCAGGCTCTTTTTTTTTTCGTCATTGGCACAAATGCCGGTGCGACCTGATTTTCATTCAGAACGATGCGAAAGCGGGCAACTCCCCACGCCCACCTGACAACGCGGACGTCGAGGCTCTCGTGCCAACTTTAAACGGAATGAGAGAAGCCGCTTTGATCGGCCCCGACAGAAGTCGACTGTGAGCACTCCCACAGCGGCGCAGCCTCCCCGTCACGCTTATGTGAAGCGCGATTGTCGACTTTGACTGAAGTGCAGGAGTTGAATCAGTTTTCAAAGTATCTGTACTTCAAATTGAAGTAGAGTTCCAACTGTGTGGGTGTGTGTGTGTGTGTGTGTGTGTGTGTGGGTGTGTGTGGCTGCTTCCCAAACAGACTAATCACCGGGTTTCTCCCATACCGTCTGTGCATGTTTGACTCGGTTAAGTCGCAAAGACGCTGGCTGCTGCATATAAAAATGAGGAGTTCTTTGAAAAACAAACAGCAATCACTCCACTTGATGATGTTATTAGTCAGAAAAAAAAAAAAAAAACAACAAAAAGATGCTCATGTGTCACACTGATGCAAATGCTTTTCGTCTTCTTTGTGGTCACTGAACGACCTTGATGCCGATGACGTTCATGAAGTCTTTGCTGACAGTGATTGAGCTTGAAGGTTTTTGTAAATGTCAGATTATTCTAATTCGTAAACATCCGCCCCTTCGTCGTTCTGTCGTCATTCATCATTTTTTTTTTGTCTTTTCCCTTAGAAAACTTTGAGAAAACTTGGCCCGAAAAAAAAAAACAAAAGTGAGACAGTTGAGTGTTTGGTAATTTCCCGTCGGCCGTCCATCTCGTGTACGTGGTTGCAATTTGGTGGCAATTTGAAAAAATCAGGAGGAGTCGTCCACTTTTGAAAGACCGCTGGAAATGTACAAAAACAGACTTCACACGGAAAGCAAATGGCGGACTTGCTGTGTACTTCAGGACGTTACTTCTTGAGACCTTTTTTTGTGGGTCTAATCATGATCGACATGCCCACCAAATTTCATGCTGCTAAGTCCAAGGAGCTTTGGTGACTGAATTAAGAATTCTCAAGTGCAACTAACAAAGCAAATGGCTGCACCAAGGAAACTGAAAAAAAGGGTTGTTTCTGTCCAAAATGGCGGACTTCTTGTGCCTTTTCGGGGATGACTTCTCAACTTGTTTTTTGTGGGCCTACTCATGAGTAGCGACGTCAAACTGTCTTTGGGTCCTGAATTAAGACAAAACTCTTCAGGACACGAATGAAAAATTTTTAAAAAACATTGTTTCTGTCCAAAATGGCGGACTTCCTGTGCCTTTTCAGGGATGACTTCTCGACTTTTTTTGTTTTTTGTGGGCCTACTCATGAGTAGCGACGTCAAACTGTCTTTGGGGACTGAGTTACTTCTCACCAAAAATGTCAGATTTCCTGTGCCTTTTTGGTCATTACGTCCTTCTCAAGAGTTTTGGGGTTTTTTTTGTGTTTTTTTTGGTGGGTCTACTCATGATCGACATGCCCACCAAATTTCTAGTCAAACCGGCCTCACAGGCTGAATTGAAAAGCCATTCCAAAGTGTCCGCTTCCCTGCGTCTTTTCAGATCGGACTTCTTGAAATCGTTTGCGGATCTACTCACGATCGACATGCCAACCAAATTGTCATATTGCTCAGTCGGACCGCGGCCCCTCATTACGTGTGGCCCGGAAGCAAGAGCAAAGAAAGCAAGCACGTCGCGAGGGTTTCTTCCTCGGGGCCTCCGTGAAGTGCTTGGGAGTGTTTCTCTCTCTGAAGCGGCGCCACGCGTTGTCACCCGCTATCTGGCGCCGCGCCACGGTTATCGCGCCCGGCGCTCTCCGCCGAGGATTAGTCGCCATTTAAGCAAGATTTGCACCCGACCCCCGAGGAGCTTTTGCCTTGCGTGTTTATTGTGTGTGTGTTTGTTTTTTTTTTTTTTTTAACGCATCTCGAAGCCCAATCTGGCGTGTCCTTTGAGCTTGTACCTTTCACGCCCCCGCCGACTACCCACGTCGTTGCCGCCACCTGCAGCGGAAAAACAATGATTGCGCAGAAGGGGGAAAAAAAAAATGCCGCAGGGGTTGAGGTGGCGCGGCGCGTTGGCGATGGAAATGAGTTTCGCCAAGAGAGCAAGACGCGCCGTTTGCGTTGCGCTAAATTCTCTGCTTTGCATGCCAAACGAGTGACATGATGTCACCTCGCATATGCTTTGCATGCAATCATCACATTTCGGGCGGCGTCGACGGCGTGCGGGGGAATCGCTGATGCGCGTCGAACGGGCGACGCTCGCCGTCTCGTTTGCCGGCACTTTTATTGACGTCCGAATGGCACATTAGCTGCCCACTCCGTCGAGGTCAGACCGAGGTTATTCGAGTTAGGATGCAAATTGACAAAATAATTTAATTAAAAAAAAAAAATCAGTTTTGTTAAGACCATCAAAATCAAAACGGAAATGCTTTCAAACAAATCATCTTTTTAATTCTTATAAGAGATGAGCTTTCAGGGTTCATTTTAAGGGAATTTATTTTCACACTTCATATTGTTATTTAAAACTAATCAAGGAAGCATTTAAAAAAAAAAATCAAACGAACAAAGTTGCTCCCAAAACGTCTTTAAATGAACGGAAAAATACACAAGTCAAACCATCATCCAAAAAATAAATGATCATCATTAAAAATTCAAAAGCTATTAGAACGCGGGTGCGCAACAGCTGCTACACAACAAAGGCCAATTAAGGGGCCTTGCGTTAATTATGGATTTTTTTAGCGGTAAGTCCAAAAATGAGTTAACTTCGGCGAACGTTGCAGCGTTTGGCTCCCTCTTGCGCCAGCGGTCGGCATCGTCGCCGTCACGGCTGCATGTGAGAAATTATTCTGCGAAGCGTGACGGCGGGTCGGGCGCTTTGAATTGCCGCTTACGGCATTTCCCGATGAGCCTGCGCGGGCGCTTTTTAACCGAGATGACTCGCCGGCTCTGCCGGGAGATGCGCTGTTCTGTTGCGTTACGGTTGCCACGGAGATGCGCACGGGGGGCCGCTAATGGAAAAACACTGTTGAGACCCTGAAGACTTCTTTGGACTCCAACCAACAGCGGCCGACACATTTCCTCGATGACTTCCAGGTAGTCCATGGCAAGCTCTTCTATTTGAAATGCCCCCCCCTTTTTTTTCCCAACCCCCTACAGCACTTTCGAGCGCGAGTGTGACCGTGGGCCACTGAGCAACAA